ATATATATATGTGTGTGTGTGTGTGTGTGTGTGTGTGTGTGTGTGTGTGTGTGTATTACTTTAAATATTGTGTTACTCCCAAAAAGTAACTAATTGCATTACTTAGTTACTTTTTATAAAAAGTAATGCATTTTGTTACTTTTGTGTTACTTTTTGTCACCTGAGCTGGGCTTGCTTATTTATTATTAATAACAAAAAATCAGAAAGTTACATTTTTGGCAACTGTAAATACCCTTTCACACCAAAAGTGAAATTAATAAGCCTCTGCCTGAAGGAAGTGCCTCACTCCCAATTTCTCTCAACACAGGGACAGGAGAGGTGTCAGTGAATAAATGGGAAAACAAAGTAACTCATATTTTCTTGTAAATTTAAAAGCGTTACTTTATTAGTTACTTGGAAAAGTAATCTGATTACATAACTCGCGTTACTTGTAATGCGTTACTACACCCAACACTGCTGAAACATAAATGTTCCTCCAATTTATATTTTTCCATCACTGTGTCACCAGGGTCTATGTATTCTTAAAGTAATCTAAATATTGTGTCATGTTGGTATTGTGTCAAATGAAAGCTTTTAATATTTTCCTTTATAAATGAAATTAACATTTACTGCCTCACCCAGGTAAATAAATCACCCAGATTAATCACTGCGAGCTACTCCTACACATGCAGATTTGTTTTGTTTTGTAATCACTGTTGCCCGCGGGGTGGCGCTGTGGAGCTGCTGTACAGTGGCGGCTTTCAGAAGTGCAGCTGGAGGCGGAGAGTCCAGTGATACACAGAGATGTGGAGGAGATGTGGACAATGTAGGCGCTTGTTTGGACAGTTTCGCTGTTATCTTCGTTTGTCTGTCGCCTGACCCGCAACTCTCCCCTAATTCACTTCGAATTTAACTGAAAGCCACTTTAAATTCGTTTTCAGATCCAGGAACAGACTCAGCGATGAACTCTGGAAGCGGACGAGAACATTTCACTTGGACGCTTTGAGCATTTCCAGCGATGGAAAAGCAGAAAGGTATTTCAGGGTTTTCACATCAGTCTATAGTCTGTAGGAGAGTCTGAGTGCAGTGCTCCAGTTACAGCTTCATATGGGCCACATTAGATGGTCTTCATATCATCTACACAGACATTTTCCATAAGAAACAACTTTGAGTGAGTGAGAGTGAGTGAGTGTGTGTGTGTGTTTGTGTGTGTGTTTTAACGAGTTGGAGTGCTGAGACGAAGTGGTTAAAACTCGTGAGGTAGTTGGTTTGAATCTCAGAAGTGGTTTTTTGCAGGCTGTCATTTTGAGCCATTGAGCAAGATACTCTATCTTAAGTCGCTGACTGTCCCTGTGAGTCACTTGGATAAAACCACTAGTTAGTATTCACTAACTGGGCTAGTAATCATAGTTTTTATACCAGTTTTGTCTCGTTTAGTCATAAGTCACAAGTCTTCAGTTTCATTAACATTTATTAATGCAGTGGAGTCTTTTATTCAAAGTGACTTACAGTGCCTGAATGTCTTGAATAAGTGCCACTGGGACTCGAACCTACAACCGTCTGCTAACCTACATCACCCCTGTAAAAGATCATCCATTTCTAAACACATCTTAGCAACTCGTTCATAGCTCAAAAAGACAGAAAGGTGTTGAATATTTGAGTGCTGAATTCTCGTAATTGCAGTTATTGTTGTTGTAGCCTTGTAGATTTGATCATTGTTCTGGAATGTAAGTAATAGTCCTCCAGTTTCCCCAATCAGCCGCGTCGCCACAAACCAAATCTCAGGAGAGGCGCGAGTTTCTCGGTTTGTTTAAGTAAAGGTCAGAGAGCAGTGCTAATTTCACCAGCGGCGGTGTAGTGTGAAGTCTGACAGGAGTTAATGAGCTGCTCCACCGCCTTCCAAACTCCTATGTCTTGAATAAGTGCCACTGGGACTCGAACCTACAACCTTCTGCTAACCTACATCACCCCTGTAACAGATCATCCATTTCTAAACACATCTTAGCAACTCGTTCATAGCTCAAAAAGACAGAAAGGTGTTGAATATTTGAGTGCTGAATTCTCGTAATTGCAGTTATTGTTGTTGTAGCCTTGTAGATTTGATCATTGTTCTGGAATGTAAGTAATAGTCCTCCAGTTTCCCCAATCAGCCGCGTCGCCACAAACCAAATCTCAGGAGAGGCGCGAGTTTCTCGGTTTGTTTAAGTAAAGGTCAGAGAGCAGTGCTAATTTCACCAGCGGCGGTGTAGTGTGAAGTCTGACAGGAGTTAATGAGCTGCTCCACCGCCTTCCAAACTCCTTTCTGTTTCTGAAAACAAAACCCATGTTGAGAAACAAAACTGAAATCATAGATAATATTACTGTTCAGCTTCTATGCACTTTTTTTCTTGACATTTTCCATAATCACAATCAGAGTTGGAAGATATATGCAAAATTGGCTAAATATTCAAAATGATTGTGTTTCCTGATATAAAATTAAACAACACGGTTAAGTTTGAATCATTTTAGTTAATCAGTTTTTAAAATATTTTTCAGTTAATCATTTAAAAGAAAAAACTGTTGACAGTTGGATGTTTGCATGTCCGGTAATGGATGGCTAGGGTGAGAGATATGACAGGAAGAAAGGGGGATACAGGACTCAGAATTGTTGCAAGCAGATTCAAACCTGTGTTTTCCACTTGAGCACCAAGGCTCAGAAAGTCAGAGTATTTCTGAAGACTCTCTGTTGTTCTTAAACTACGAATCAGAAGAAAACCAGACTGAGAATATATCATAACATATCCGGCTCCAGTGTTCTTCCTCAAGATGCATGCCATTTTGTTTATTAACTGCTAGAGCGCAAAAAGTTAAATTAAGTTGAATTAATATTTGTGTAACTTTAGAAAGTGCATAGCAATGAACAGCGACTATCAATGGGAATGAAGACAGTGGAGGTCATGTGATCGGTCAATTACTGTAGTCGAGGGTCTGCAAGATGAAGTGAAGATGTAGTTTTCAATATTCTAATTTTATGTAAATAAATGTCACTCTGTGAGATTTGAAGTCACAATTGAAAGAAATAAAGTTGCAATTAGGGGATATAAAGTCACAACCGCTCTGTTGTGTTTTTACTTTTTTTGTTTCAATAAAAATATACACTAATGTTCAAAAGTTTGGGGTAGGTAAGATTTGTTTTATGTTTTTGGAAAAAATCTCTTATGTTCATCAAGGCTGCATTTTTTGATAAAAAATACTCTAAAAGAGTAATATTGTGAAAAATTATTTCTACTGTGATATATATAAAAATGTAATTTATTCCTTTTATGACAAAGCTGAATTTTCAGCAGCCATTAAAGAAAAGAAAAAACGTTTGAACAGAAGTGTATGTTGTATGTATAGGTAAATGTTGTTTGTTGTTATTTTGGTGCATAAAAACTAATTATGATCTTTAGATTTATCAAGAGAAATCTGTGGAAGATATGCCTTGATTTTTTTATTTTCAGAACAAATACATACTGTAAATACAGTATGTACTGAATATTGTCAAGAATTAAAAAAAATATATATATATATTGAGATATGATTTTTAGCTTCATCATTCAGCCTGGTCATGCATTTTTTTTTTCAACAAACTTTTTTTCCTCTTCCCTGTTCTGTCACTATCGGTCAAAACAAGAATGTGACCTCACACAAACACACACACACACACACACTTTCTCTCTTTCTCTTTCCTCCATTATATAAATTGCATAACATCCACCCCAGAATGGATTAATTTGTCATATCTCATTCATTCACACATTGTCTCATGTGGTTTGTTAGGATCTGTGCCTAGACCATTCAATCCTATATCCCCCTGCTCAAAACACAGCTTAAATGAGTTCTGTTGTTGTATTTCTCATATAAAAAACTCACAGCTTGGATTCATGGAGTTACATCCCATAGTGCCATCAACTGCAGTTTAAACATATTTAGATGCAAGTGTACGTCTGTGTTTCTGTGTTTACTCATTTTCTAAACACAGTGCCACTTGAAAGGCTTTGGTGGTCATCCTGTTGCAGGCACAGGATATGGTGATAATGTGAGGACAGTGCTTCTTATATCAAACTCTCAGCATCTCTGGGTTATTCAATTAGACTCTGCAGTACCCTTCTTTACTTTGGTCGATTCAAGTGCAGATTTTGTATTTCCAGTATAATGCATCATATTCAGAGGTGATTGGGATGGAATTGGTGAAACAAGCTACTGCAGAAGGTCACAAACTTTTTGTTACATTGCTCAGATCTGTGTAAATATTTATGACCCACAATGTATGAAAATATTACAGACAAATTTTGAATTTATATATATATATATATATATATATATATATATATACAAACCAGTATTTAAAACTTTTAACTTTTAATGGATGGCTAGGGTGAGACATATGACAGGAAGAAAGGGGGATACAGGACTCAGAATTGTTGCAAGCAGATTCAAACCTGCGTTTTCCACTTGAGCACCAAGGCTCAGAAACTCAAGAGTATTTCTGAAGACTCTGTATATTAGCTTAACATTAGCTTTTGATCGGGCTGAGAACTAGCGTGTTACCATGGACCTATCTTTGAGATTTCATTCATTTTTCTTTTCGGACAGACTTTCTATTGTGTCAGACAAAAGGGTCAGCTGTCAACAAGGGGTCAAATCAGTTGACCAGAGTTTTATATACCGTTTTGAAGCATTTTGGCCAGCAACGCAAAATGACTCTCTGTGTCCCCACCAACACAAACACACAGAGTGGGTGTTTGAGGCATTTCCGAAATGTTGACGACGCCCATGTGCCTCGGGGCATTAATTTATCTAATGAATCAAATGCAGAGGGTGGTCTCGCCTCCTCACAGAACATGACATCTCTAGAATGAGCCTGAAGTGCTTGTCATGTTTGCATAAATATGAATGGAGCTACTGTTGTGTGAGAACATAAGATGAAGGGCTGATATTTCACATCGATTAATAAAAAAAGCAAGTCATTTGTAGTTCATGCATACAAAACGTTTTTAGTATAGTGTATAGTAATTTTCCTCGTCAAACAGTTTATGGATGGTTTATGTGAAATGGGTACAAAATATTCAGTATCACTTTCTATAATGTAAGGTATCACTTTGACTTTTTAGTGTGCACAGACAGTAGATTACCACAAAAAAAAAAAAAATCCTTGTCTCAAGGTTTGTGAAAACCTGCTGGAAAAAAAATCTGTTGACAATTATGCATTTTAATTAATAATTTAAAAAACGTTTTTAATTATTTTTTAATTTATTAGAATTGTTTTTTATTACATTTTAAAGTTCTGTTTTTAAATAAGTTCTTTTGAGCTTTCTATTTATCCATCCAGAATTTTTTTATTAATCTATATGTGACCTGTGCTGGCAAAATGAGCCACAATGAGCAAATTTTCAAAAACAAGTTATTTTTATTTCACTAGCCAATTTCACGAATGCGTCAATCAGCACAATTGTTTTGTTTACATCAGCATGGGTTTGATCATCACATCACTGGTTCAGGCTCATGCCATCAAGAATTCGCTATGAATATTCACAAAGCTGGAATGCTACGCTTTACAACCGACCCAAGTGGAGCCGATGGTCCGAGGGAGCCCGGCGAGGCCAAATGCCCGATGGGCCACGCTGGAGTCATGGGAGGAAAGAGCCCAGGCGTAGGAGTTAGGGTGACAGATAGAGGTGGAATAGAGCACACCAAGGCTGGAGGTGGAGCCACGGGCTCATCACGCCCAGGAAGAAGTGGCTCCCAGCAGGCCCACGGTGTAGCCACGCCACTGAAAGGAGGAACTGAGGGACTGATGGGGGACGGTGATGACTGGGCTGCAGGAGTGGCTGGGGACTGAGGAGGAGAATGGAGGACAGCACAGAAACCAACAAAAAATTATCATTCATAGCATTCATAATGGCAGTCTGGAGAGGTGGTGGGAGAGGGAGGCTGGGCGGGTTTAACAAGACTAAAGAAGACGAAATAGATTCTGGCTAGATCATGGGACACAGGGAATTTATCTCCACAC